TCTGAGTATCAGATTTTTCGCTAATGTATAATTATCACTCTAATTATCAAGGTTAAGTGAATAAATCCCAGAACATATACGCCAAACTACTTTATTATCAAGCAGAAACAATACTTTTCTCAACTAAATGATTACTTCACAATGTCATTAGCTCTGAATACATTGACCAGAAAGATAATGAAAGCTTCTAAACAAAACCATCTACCTAAAGGATTTTAAGTCATCCCCTTAAGAGCTGTAGATCTTCAAATGAAACTGTTTACATCTGATGAAACACATATAAGACGAAACTAAATGTGTGACCATGCAAGGAAAGTGAAAGTATTTTCATTTGAAATGTAACGCTCATAGGATCACTAGCATAAAGACAGTTTTCTTGATACCTTGAAGATTCCTTATCACAATATCCATGTTGGTAAGACATTTGTTAGAGCTCTAATGGTTCGATGGTACAATGAAGCTAGCGACCTCATTCGGTAAATAAAACACCAGTGCTACTGAAATGCTATAGCTCAGGCTTGAAGCCCTATATTTCACTCTGTCGAAAATTAATACAATCATTATACGAGTTTGACCACGGATTGATATCAGTTAGAGAACCATTGAAAACCACCACTGGAGTATTCGAGAGCTGTTTCGTCCTAGTTCGGGAATCATCACCACCGGAGTTCGAACCCAGGGATTTCCGGTTACAAGGCAAGCTAGCTCATACCATTCAGCCACTGGAACCCGATTCAATGGCCAGCCCATGAATTCTAACTTCTACCAGTTCGTTATGCATTTAGCGCGACCACCAACCAATATCATCGGTGGGAAATCCATCCTCACACTGGACTGGTTGAACCCCATTGGTTACGACTTCTCACTAGAACTCTAGGAAACTCCGTCGTGTAGCAAGTCACTAGCGAGCATCAGATAGTTGGTTTGTAAGGAGTCACGCTAAATCACGAATTGGTAGAAGTTAAAATTCATGAGCTGGCCACTGAATCGGGTCTCAGTGGCTGCTGAATAGTATACGAGCTTGTCTTCTAACCGAAGGCCCTGGGTTCGAGCCATGTCGGTGGGCAAGTACTGTCTATGATTTCCAAACTAGGATGAAGAAAAAGCTGTCCAATACTCCCTGACTGGCTTTCCAATGGTTCTCTAACTAATATCAATCAGTGGTCAAACTCTTATAAAACAAATCTAATCCTTACAAACCAAACTCTAGACAATCATTGTAGTGGAAAAGAAATGCGAATGGAAATGTGAAAGGAAAAAGCGAACGTTGATGTGTACTTTTATGTGCATATCACAAGCTAAATATCTAATAATGCAGCCAATAGCAAATATTTGTCTGTACTCAAGACTAATAAATTACGCAAGTACCCCATAATTTCTTATCCCTTCTTCTTCATCTCCTTATCACCCACCACATATATCCACCCAAATCCCCTTGCTTCCTTCATGAATTCCCTCTCTCCCTCTGCATCTCCACCACTCATTGTCTGACTTCCGCTTTTGTCAAAAGTACAGTACAGAAAGTCAACTCATCAAGCGACGCCGACGCCAATACTTAGACGAAACGATCAAAATACATGATAAGAATACAAAAGACATCAAAAAAACAAGATTACATAAGTAGAGTAGTGCCGAAAATACACTGTCACAAACGCACACACATACACACATACGTACACTTCAGATGGACAAAACATTAGCCTACACAATGAATTTATATTTTGTCCACCGACCTATTCACCCACCCCGGTCATTCCATTCATTCACCTCTGAATACAATCCTCTACTCACTCCCAACCAATCGCCCTCCCCACCTCAACCTCCATCTATAATATTGTATTATTCAACTGTCACAAATTCAAAATATACGCTCGTGATAACACCGACAATAAACCAGTTGTTTTAATTTACATTGTGTCGCCTAGACAACGGCATAATGCGGCAAAACTTTTAAAGATATCAGAGAAATGAAAAGAGAAACGAAAAAAAAATATACAACTACTAGAAATCAAGAAGAAGAAGAAGAAAAAGAATAAAGCGAAGACAATAAGATATGTGAAATGGACCTGTTTTCATTGATGTGGTTGTTTTCTGCATAGTACAAAAGTAACAGTGTGTGGATATTAACCTTTTAAAAGGGATAGAGGTAGATTCCATTTATTATAGTAGTAATTAGGGAAATAGAGAATATGTGTTCGTTTAGCTTCCCGGCTAATTCTGATTAAGATTCATGGCTCTCACTCAGGTGGCCAGGCTCTGACTCCTGGAGTGGAAGTCAAGTGCCTCGTTAGTTCAAACAGAGAATGTTCTCCAATCACTTATGTAGTTCGGATTTGGTTCCGGATCGATGTACTCATAAAGCTCAGATAATGTTTTAAAAAGATAACAAACCCAGGAAATAGAGGAGGTTGAACATGAAGCTAGCAACGTCACTCCATGAAAACAACACAAAGACTGAAGGAAACATCAAAATATGAGACTGGAACTTGGACACTTTGGTACAGTATAATTCCGTCGTAGAATAAATATATTTAGTAAGAGCAGACTGTAATAGAGTATTATATATTTACTCGAAACCGTATGTTCCACTCACAACCCAAGGGAGCAATAATATTTTTGTCAGGGAAGTGTCTTATCAAACGTTTTCATACATTTGGTTCCCTTGATAAGTTTCGATAAAGAGAGAATGACCAGATTTGCAGCATATAATGATATCATCATTCAATTTCACAGGGTCTCATCAGCTGCATACTATCTGAAACTACAGTGGCTACAAATAATGACAGTAACATAGTTCAATGTTTCAATGGCAGTACAGAATACATTATAAAATCAACGCATCCGAAATAATAAGCATTACGGTACTTTTCAGTCCAAATTACCATCAATTTCAAAATGGGAAATAAGGAGGAGGGGAAATAGAAAACAGAAAAATCTAATAAACAGTGTTAGCTTGTCGGTTTACGTAGCAACTCAAGAAGGTCATAGTTCATAAGATTAGGAACTTGTTCAATGAGCTGAAATCACTAATCAGTGTAATTAAAATGCGGTTACTAGTGGAGTGAGAGAGTATATCCCAAGAAACTTATGCCCAAAAAGAAGCAGATATTCGCAAAGTACAATTTCCAAATCCTCCATACATACTGAACATGCAAAGGACAGCAAATTTACTATGATTTGCTGAATTAATTAAAATCAAGAGTTTCAAACCAAATTTATGCATACAGAAAGAGAATGTGATCAATCTGTCCCTACCTAAGTAACTGCGTTTTGATTACAATGATTTGTTGTCTATATTAGTGATTTCAACTCACTGATCAAGTTTTTAATCTTGTGAACTATGACCTTCCTAAGTTGTTATGTGAACCTACACAACACTGTTTATTAGATTGTTCAGTTTTTAGTCCTTTCCTATTTTGGAAGGTACATAAATTGACGGTAACAAACTGAAAATTGTAATTCTTATATTTCGGATGCATTAATTATGTAATAAACAGAGGACCAGTAGTTCAGCGAAGAGTGAATTCATTCTTATAGCTGTACATTCGCAAATCAACATGGTTGTTTTGTATGTGTGTGTACATTAAATTTGCCAAATGAAAATACAATTAGTAAGTCCAAATGAATTGAATGTTGATATAAGAGTGTAGTAACAAAAGTGATCAGTTGTCACAAATGATTGTCGAAGAAGAGTTACGTAATAACATGAATAGTTGGATGAAAGAGTTGTGCTCAAGGTGTTCTTTAAGAAGAACGTTCTTCGCGGCAACATTGAGGGTAGTGTTCTCCAAACGCCTGCTGATCTGTAGAAGCCCAGAGGACAAAATCCAGTACCTGACCACTTCTATGTGTATATATCTGTTCACCTGTTGCTGTGGAGCCAGGTACATCGGTCTTTCGACGCGCATCCTGTCAAATGACTCAAAGAACACTATCCAATGTGGCTGCAGAAAGGAATTAGTGGCCATATAAGGAGTGCAATAATCGAACATCTCGTCAACACTGGTCATTCCATCTCAACAAACGCCTCCTTCAAAGTAATCTACAAAGTGAAGAACAACCTGCCAAAGACAATACGTCTTCGACTTCTTTGCATTGCGGAAGCCCTAGCTATTCAGTTGGAAGAACCAGAACTATGCATACAAAAGAAAATTATTCAACCATTTCTACTATCATGGTAACAACTCTGCTGATTTGACTTAACTTTTGCTTGTATGCTTATTTTTGTAACTACTTAAAACTCTTGCGTAATCCCGTATGCTATTTTGTTTCCGTATGCACCCTGAGCACAACTCTTTCATCCAACTATTCATGTTATTACGTAACTCTTCTTCAACAATCGTTTGTGACAACTGATCACTTTTGTTACTACACTCTTATATCAACATCCAATTCATCTGAACTTACTAATTGTATTTTCATTTGGCGAATTTAATGTACACACACATACAAAACAACCATAAATATTTGTGATTGTACAGCTATGAGAATGAATTCGCCACCGTGAAGAGACTCTTTGCTGAACTATTGGTCTTCTGTCAGTTATGTAATGTTTTCTCTGCTACCATTCAAACATTGAATGATGTTATTATGATTCTCTTTTATAACCACTGTCATTTGAGGTGGTGGTGTGCAGCTGATGAGAACCTGTGAAGCTGAATGATGATATCATTATATACTGCAAATCTAGTCTTCTTTCCGTAGTCAGAACAATAATGCTATGTTTGCTGGTGACCTTTCGAGCATAATATATTGCTCATTATCATATCCACCCCTTGATTTGATTAGACAATTAGACGAACATGTGTGACTCTTTGATTCAGGTCTCAATTATTTATGTGACTTTATGAACATGAAGAAATCAGCATGTTTAAATGGAACGATGATAACAGAAAAAAAAGAGAGATCAACCTCTTCAACTCTTTCTGTCCACCTTCCTCTAAATGTCAAAACAGAACTTGAAAAAGAGAAGCATTTATTAATTACCGCGTTGAACATACCTGATGATAGTCGATAGGGGAAATAGTTCTTAGACGAGAATTACTGCCAGTTGAATTTTTAGCATAGACAAGGGGGACAGGATCAAAATACCTTGGTCTGTATTTATGATCGCATAGTCGTAATGGGCATGGTGGCATACTGTTAAATAAAGCTGGTTTTGGCGATTTTTCTTGATCATATTCTATCTGTAAAAAGAATATTAGAATAAGAATAAAGATTACTCTACTGTAGGACCTTTTTGTGATTTGGTTATAACAAAAAATAGCAAAAAAATTTGTTACTCGTAATTGAACTGTGCACATAGTTGCCACACATTATTATTTATTAAGCCTACGTCTCAAGGGAACAAACTCTTATAATAGCGCGCTATCACCAGGTATCTCCTCGATAAGGGTCATGAGGTGGAAATCGAGAAATCCTTTAAAATTATCATTTGGCAAAGGAGCTCGATTCTCCTCAAGTTTGCCGAAGCAATTTCTATCAAATGCCTGAAACTCGATTTATGTGTTCAGAAGGAAGCAGTTACCAGTCAGTCTTTCCTTGCCCATCCTGGTAACTGGATGTCTTTATTCCCTTTTTCACTTGATTACGCAACCTTTAGCTTTAACCTCACACACCCCTCCCCTTTGATATCGTGTAGTTTTACTTGTCTCTTGTTTCCATGACTTGAGTTGAACTCACTACTTTGCTACCCAATTTATTAGTTACTCATCATATCGCGCATCTCTTGTCTCTATTACGCAACTCCTTTGCCATTGTGTGCTTGCATACATTTACTTTGTTTAAACTTCAATTGTCTGTGTAAAAACTATACAAGCGTGCTTTCCTGAGCACTGTTCACTAATTTTTGAACCTTCTGTCAACTGACATCATGAAAAAGCTCATAATTTATTTAGGCTGTAAGCAGAAGCTGATGAGAAGACAATGAAATAAACAATGACGGTACCATAGCATTCTGCACAAACCACACTGTTATTCTTGCTTTATTGAAATTATTATTTATTATTCCCTAAGGTTCCTGGTTGGATGGGGGGGGTTGCTTTACTGACTCATTTCCATTTCTCCCTGTTCTCTGTAGCGACTACCTGCAAACTTTCATTTTTTCTTTATACGGTCTGCTTTATGTCACCCTCCGACTTACATCCAACTCCTCTTTTGCAGTTCAGGTTCCACTTGAGCAGTCATCTTGCTTGTAATGTCACTAAACTGCCTCTTCAACATGTGTCCATGTCCATCTCTATGTCAATCTACATATTTGTTGTGCATAAAGTGGTTGGTTACTTCGTTGCCATAGTTTCTTATTGCTCATCTATTCAGACCATTTGACCTTCAGTATCGACAGAGTTTAGGGTAGAGTTATACATAGCCAGTATACCGAAACTGAATAGTCATTCAAGACGTCTAATGTGTCAAGTTTATGACACTAAAAATTACCAAAGGACATGAAAAGTTTTAATTCAAATTGACTGTGAGAAGAGTTAAAGCACTAGTTAATGATTATATTTTTTACCAAACACTAAATAAATGATACTTATAATTACGGAATATACACATTGGATCATAGGAATTATTAAAAATACGGTTGCAGCGAAGAAAATTTTCTTTTCGACGAAGTCATCGTCAACTAGACTGTACATTCGTGCATTTACATTACATGTGTGAGAAAGTTCCAGAATTATTTCCGGTCAGAGGTCAGATCAATAAAATTACTAATTGTAATCAAGACATAATACGATCATAATTAAGAAAGTTGTAATAACAAAATAGGTAGGAAGTTCGAAAATGCATAAAAACAAAAAACCAGCAACCAAATCTAGTAATGCAGAGGGGAATCAAAAACCTAAAAGTAACAGAAATAAACGGGAAGACTGGAGTGAGAAAGGTAACAGGATAATTATTATTGGTGAGACTGAATTTTCATGATGCCCACGGTTGGGACAACGGTTGGACGTATTTCTTTTGGACATACAGAGTAGGCTTGAGTTTTTAGATAACCAGTGCCTCAACTATTCCTAGATGTCTTAATTTCACTCCCTTTGGTGGGTTGGATCGGATCTTATATATAGTTTTGAAGGACTTTACAAACAGGGCTGAATGTGCAGAATTTGCCAGCATGGCTAGCAAAGGGAGAACGCAAAGGGGTACACATTTCGACAACAGAGCATCTGGCAAATAATTCTGGAACTTTCTCACACATGTAATATAAATACACGAATGTACAGCCTAGTTGATGACTTCATCGGAAAGAAAATTTTCTTCGCTGCAACCGTCTTTTGAATAAAACTTAGAATTATTTGGCAAATCAGAGGACGAATTTATGATACTCGAAAAGATGTTGACAAAAAAATGGCTACCGTCAGATGTTCATTAACAAATACGAAAGATGTGAAGGCTCTAACGCCAAACAGAACACAGTGAGGGAAAAAAGCCTATCTTCATCCAACTCGATTTTAAAGGTGATAATATTGCAGCAATAGTCAACAGAAGATTAAATACCTCATTAGCCAGAGCCTATCATACATTTAAGTTGATTCCCGTTTATAGGACAACAGTTAAAAGTCGAAAGATGCCCTTCTTATGTTCAGTATTACTGTGTATATCAATTTACATGTATCTGCTGGAGTAAGTACAATATTGGGAGAACAGAAAGAAGGATACATCTCCAACTTCCTCAGCATGTATCAGAAAGCCTACGTTTCAAGATCATTCAAAATTATGAATAGGCAAGAGAGCTCGATTCGCCTCAAGTTCACTGAAGCCACTGTTATCCGATGTGGGCTCAGAAGGAAATAGTTATCAATCTTTCCTTGGCCTGGTAGCTGGATGTCTTTAATACCTCTTTCGCCTGATTACGTAACACTGAAAATTCCATTATGTAGGATTGTTATTGTTTGGAATTAATTAATGATGTTTATCGTTATTATTATTATTAGCATTGTATGCATACATTGATTTTCTGTTTATACTTGAAGTCTCTGGGGAAGTATATGCTAAAATTGTTACTGTACATAAACTTAATAATATCTTGAGGCTGTGAGCAGCTGGTATGAAGACAACGAAATAAATGATGGTACCATTTTATTCTGCACAAACTGTTCTTGCCTTATTAGTTTGTTTATTAGATGTATCGTACAGTGAAACAGTATTATTTACTAGAGGATACAGTTTCAAACACAATTCATCATTGTTCATAATCATATCATCAATTATAATCACACAACTTCGAAACTTCAGTTTTATAGTTTTCTCTGTTCTCTCCTATTTGTCGTCACAGGGGTAGAAGAATTTTCCAGATATCTGGGACGGGTGTTTATTCATTCCTATTTCACGTGTTTGCAGTTGATTCGATAAACAAAGCTTCCGTTATCAATCTCTCCCTCCACCCTGTGACATTAGATTTTGCAACTGTCATCTTATCCCATCCAGCCTATAGTATGGTTGTGTGTAATTGCATGTAGTGAGTGCTATAGCAGAACTATGCTCCAGATTTATTATCTTATTCGAGTCAACTGATCTAGATTTTGCTAGCTTTTTATACCCGGCTAGTTTGACTGCCCCTATTCTACTTCGACCGATGTATTTGACCTGAGAATCATTGCAGGCGGGGTATTAGATAAACTAAATTGTTTTGTTTAAAAGACTTCACAGGATTGATCCTTTAACTGACAAAGCTTGTTTCTGATTGAGTATGTGTGGGGGTTTGAATGCCAGCCACTTTTATTCCTGCTTTGTTAGGAATTCTGCGTAAGGCTGTTTCCGAGGTTCTTTCCTTGTATGGAATTACTAATGATGATTTAGATTCCTTATTGTTGGGAAGGGATAAGATTACAGTTTTAAAGTCTAATGTAACAGTAGGGCGGAGGAAGAGACTGATGTCAACGGATGCTTTGTTTATCGAATCAACTGCAAACACGTGAAATAGGAATGAATAAACACCCGTCTCAGATATGTGGAAAATTCTATTATCCCTACGACGACAAATAGGAGATAAAAAAGAAAACTATGGAACTCAAGTTTCAAAGTCGTGTGATTATAATTGATGACATGATTATGTACAATAAACCGTGCGAGAAACGTCATCCGGTAAATAATACTGTTTCCTCACTGTGTGATATATCTAATAAACAAACTAACATGGAATTACTTTGTACCACAGCGCCTAAGTTTTATAGATATATCAATATGTTCTTCCTTTATTGAAATGATGACAAGCAGGGTGTTCACTTCGACCTATTTGGAACTTGTCACCCGGATGTACCCATAATCCTCACTGAGTGAGTGATAATGTTCCCGATAAGACTCGAACCAAGAGACTGAACACTTAAGTCCAATTAATCGACTTGAGCGACGGAACACACGAATTTATAGCAACTGAAGCATTTATTGGCTAATCGAGATATATATATATATATAGGCAGAATACGTCAATCACATTTTAGAATCACAATTTGAACACACCTTCTGTATTGTACTTCTCTACTTTCCTTTCATTCATTCTATGTTTATTTCTTTTCTTGACCATTATATCCGTTATCAATATTCTTACAGATCATCTAGATGTTTATATCTTTGTCTTTATACTACTTATAAATGGTGTCAGTAACACACGCCACGATAATATTCTACAAGAGGTGGATTTCGTGGTCTAGCAGTCTAATGAATAACACTTTAGCATTTGATGAACGGTGGACAATGGATTCAAGTCTCAGTGAGAACACCACTACTGATTGGGAAGATTGAAGGTATATATCCGGATGACGAGTCCAAAACAGGTCGAAATGCATATCCCGGACCCCAGTGCTAATCACTATCTACCAAATAGCATCATGTTAATCCTCAGAAGTCGTCAAAGCCTCAACAAAGGCAAAATATTTCGTTCCAATCAATCAACGTGTGACCAATCAAATCCCTACACACCAACACTTGAATATCAATGAGATGCTCACTAGTGACTTGCCCTATTCAGGTAGGTAATTGCCTGGGGTTCTAGTGAGAAGTCGTGGCCAGTAGGGTGCAGCAGGTCGAGCGTGAGGACAAATACTCGCCGAAGACATTGGCTAGGGGTCGCGCTATGTTGTGAATTGGCAGAAGTTAGAATTCATGGGCTGGCCATTGGATCGGGTCCAGTGGCTTAATGGTCTACGAGCTCGCTGGCCTTGTAACCAGAAGGTCCTGGGTTCGAATCCCGGTGAGTGCGTACTGATGAAGAGTCCCAAACTAGGACGAAACAGCTGTCCAGTACTTCCAGGTTTTCCAATGGTTCTCTAACTAATGTCAGCTCATGATGAAAATCCTGTAACCAATCAAAATGTTTAATAGAAAGCCTTTCCATGCTCAAAATTGATACATTAGTTAACTTCTCTGTCATTTCCTGTTTATTTGACTGACTCTACCATCATGTATGTCTATCATTTTCTACCACATAGTCCTGTCCCTCCCAAAATGTCTCAGTTCCTCTTTTTAACAAGTGTTTTTAATACAGAAGGAGAAGTCACTCATCTGCCTGTTTACTAAAAGTCTTGGCGCCAATACTCAGACAAGATAATAAAAATACATGATGATAAGACTACATGAGAAGAGTACAACAATAGTGTTCCACTTGTATAGACAATGCTCTACACCAATAATACACACACACGCAAACTACCAGTGACGAAAAAGAAATTGGTATAACCATAAACTTATACTTTGTCCATTTATTTTCCTACGCACCCACATATATATCCATTATATTCCACTCATCCACCTGCAAACTCCACCCTCTAGCATACATCATTCAACTGTCATCTACTCGTGATAACAGGAATTAATGAACAGTTGTTTGTTTGTTTAAATCTACATTCTGTTTGTTGCCAATAGCAACAACAACAACAACAAAAACACAACGCGGCAAACCTTTCAAAATATCATAGGAATGAAATTTTTTTTAAAAAAACAATTACAATTAGAACTAATTGAACTACTGAAGAGGATTGAGAGAAACAAAAAAAAGCCCATCATAAATACGTAAAGTGGACTTGAATTCACACTATTTAATTGCGGTGTATAGATAAGTCACAGTGTGGATATATTGTTCCTCAGTGAATTCATTAATTGCGTTGTTTAAAGGTGATACTACTTATTTATTTTTTCTTTTGATGAAGAAATACGCATTTTCCCAACTCTCTCTTAGTTAATTAATTTAAACGACCATGAAAGTCATTTGAGATATTTATGCGTTGTTATACTTAAATGATATTCAAGTGTTTCAATGAATTTGTTTAATTAAATACGGACGTTGGATAATATAATTGTACGGCTTTCTTCACCTATCTGGACAACATGCCGAAGGATAACTTCACTACAGGGTTAGCTTTCGAAACTCTTCATTGAAGTGTGGCATAGAAAGGCAATACAACAACAACATAAAAATCATTTCCACTTGAGGTATAAGCCACTTCCTGCATCTCAGTACTGTAGAATTTTAACCCTCTCCCATCCATTCTATTGGGTTGTTGTGTGTTAATGCATGCAGTGCAACTGCTGAGTTCTTTTCTCAATTACTTATCTTTGTGTGACCAATTATTCGTAACTTAGCTAAATTCTTATGTTCCGACAATCTGATTACCCACGATCTACTAGTTTGACCTAAATGGTTGACCTCGCTCACAGTCATTGAAAGGTATTTTGTAAATTATATTATTTTGTCTAATTGGGTCAACCGACAGGGTCCTTTAGCCTATAGAGCTTGTCCTACCTGAGTGAGTTTGTAGGTTTAAATGTCACTCTAATTCCTCCTTTGTTGTCCCCTCGTTATATGGTAGAACTACTGTATGTGCTTATATTCTCTCTTATTTATGTTGTCATGATTAGTTTTGCCACTTTTCTGATCTTCTTAATGAATTTTATAGGATAGTTAGTTATTTAACACCAACCAGTTATTCTTCTATCTGTTTTATTTATACTAAAACAGAGCCTTAGGAATGCGGTAAAAAGAGCATTTCTTCCTGTTGAATTACACTGTGTCTTCAAAACCACTCCCATTTTGCGTTCGGGAGTAAAAAATAGACTGCCTAATTTCGCCTCTTCCATGTGCATCTACCAATTTAACTGCTCCTGTGGAGTGAGCCAGTTACATAGGCCGTACAATTAGGCGTGTTTCTCGTCGAATTTCTGAACATCACCCTTCGTGGTTAAGCAAAGGACAAACTAAATCTATTCGCAGCCCTATTTTATATCACCTTGTGGATACAGAACACAAGATTGACGTTAACCATACTTTCAGGGTCATTTGCCGCATACCTACGAATCTCAATTTCGCCTTAAGAGTTCGACTACTAAATATTGCTGAGGCTGTGGGGAACCGTATTAACAAGCCTAATTTGTGCATCCAAAAGAAGTTAGTTCAGACATTATCCATCCTTACCTTAGCCATCTAGGTTTGAATTATCCTGAATTTTTGTGGAATTTTCCTAATTTTAGTCGATATTCTATTCGCTACTAAATCTTTATTATTATTATTTAAGGATCTTTAATGAACTGTAATTCCATTGTGATCATACTTAACAAATCGATATTATTTAAAAGACACTAATATTGTTATTGACTACTAATCTAGAATATTCTATGTATATAAACATATATATGCATGTAATTGTAGAGCCAGAAGAGGAAATTATCGAAAAGGATATTCTTTGCTCAATTATTTTGTGTTTTATAGATGTCTGAATGAATATTTTTGCTACATATATATGTGTTTTTACTCAATAAAAATGTCCATTATCAAGTCTCTTGCCTTCTCCTATTACAACAAACGTGAATATTAATACAACTTTGGTCACGAAGTGACATCAGTCGTAGTCTGGGACTCACCAACAGTATGCACACATGACCATACCAGGGACCGGACCCATGACTTTTACATAACGAGACAAGCATGTTATCACTCAGCCAGTGAATACACCGTTTCACGTATGAAGACAATGCTCACCGGTGACAGAATATGTAATTCATAAGAGATTAAATTCCAACTCAAATCCTGAACGGTCAACGTCCTCAGTCAGTAAGTAGCCTAAACGTCATCGGTACTCAATGTTGAAAAGTCCTAAGCTAGGACCACTCAACTGGTTCTGATTAATATCGTTTCGTAACAAAACAACCATAAAACTAGAGGTTACTAAAGTAATCAGAAAATTAAAAAAACTGACCCAAAATAAATGTATCAGTAATCGATTGAATTGTGTCATCTGCAGACGTTCATCTGGATTCAATTTGATAGCTGAAGATACTAAAGTTGATAGATTACCAGGATTACTATAACATTCAGTAAATATTTCATGTTTCTCTTGGGATTTCATTAAAATAAACTGAATCACTCTACCAAAACTGAATACATCACTAGCTGTACACGGTTTAATTGTTTGTTTTAATTCATCAATTGAAATGGTTTGTAGTGCCATTAAAAAGTTGGGGAATTTAAATAAGGCTTTTGTTGAGTCATATAATTCTGGCGGTAACCAATCAGTTAAGCAATTTGATGGTAGATAATATACACCAAGAATTAAATTGAATACTGATGAGAGATGAGGGACTCTCGAAGTAGAATTCAACTTGGATTTATTGACTATTGAATCATCTGAATAGTAATGATCTTCGGTTGAAGTATTTTCATAATTTCTGTAATATAAAGAAGAATAAATGCAATTTTAGTATGTATCTATCAATCTATTTAAAGCATAAAAGTGATACAAAGAAACCTGCATCCCACTTATCATCACCACACACACAGAGTTAGTCAGCTAGTTAGACGTCAGCTACTCAGAACAGATATTTCACTAGCCATGCTTTTAGTGCCGATACTAATTCCCGATTCCCCAGGCTGTCTTAGGTGTAGCGTGACTGAAAAGTAGAACCCACCAGCCGAAAGGCGACCACCTAAACCAATGAGACACATGTTTCTCTATCTACCACAAATTTTGGTGTGGAATAGTCAGACCATCAGATAAAGACTTTTGTGACTGTTGATAAGTTGACTGGTTAGTCTATTACTCAAATATCTGAAAGTGTCATTACCAGAAATATGAAATTATGAAGGTTACTCATCACTATCCAGCAAAGAACCTGATCTCCTTTTCGGCCTTCGAAGTGGGGACGGGAGTAAGACAAGGCTGCCTATTATCGCCAATGATTTTCCTGATTGCAGTAGACTGGATAATGCGACAGACAGCGGCGGGCATTGAGGAAACAGGAATAAAATGGACACACACAAAAAACTTGGAGGATCTGGACTTCGCCGATGATATACGTCTGATTTCCCACAAACTGGAAGATATGCAAGCGAAAAGCAACAAGTTCGCAGAAGAAGCATCCAGAGAAGATAGGACTTCAGGTGAACATAGAGAAAAAAGAGGTGATGAAGATTCCCGGCCAACACCACCAACAGCAACAACAACAAAAGACAACAACCAGCATAAATTGAAGGAACCTGAAAGAAGCAACCTCTTTTACCTAAATGAGTAGCATCGTTTCAACTACACGTTGACGGAACTGACGAGAATATCAAAGCAAGAATCGGAAAAGCAAGACAAGCTTTCACTACTCTCAAGTCTGTGTGGAGGTCAACAGCACTCAGCATGAAAAATAAGATTCGGATTTTCAACTCCAATTTGAAGTCAGTCAGTGCTACTCACTATACGGATCAGAGACTTGGCCAGTGAGTCATAAAGAGCATTTCAAACAAACTACAGACCTCCATTAACAGTTGTCTTCGCTCAGTGCCACTCAAGATCAGATGGCCGGCCAGAAAAGATCAGCAACAGGGATCTCTGGGAGCGAACCAACCAGGAACCGATTGTGAAACAAATATGCAGAAAGAAATGGAGATGAATTGGCCATACTCTGAGGAAACCCTCAAGTGACATCACTAGACAAGCCATTGCTCGAGTGGAACCCGACTGTATTGGAAGCGGCGAGTTGGTCGTCAGTGTAAGGGTGACTTGGAGGAGGTATTGTGAAGAGGAGATGAAAACGTGTAAGCAGACCTGGAGCCAGGTGAAGACTCTAGCGGAGAACCGAACGCAATGGAGACGCATGGCTGAAGCCCTATGTTCCTCTAGGAATTAAAGGATACAATAATAATATAAGCACATTAGAGTCAGACAGAATGGTAATTTTTCTGAACATCAAAAGCAGAAATCTTCGAATCTTTCGCGTGCGATTCTCTCCTGTAAAATTCAGGTAAGATGATGCTGCAGGACTAGACTACATTGACTCATTCCTAGCTTAAATGGTAGACAGGGGTGAATTGATGGCGGAGTGTGTTGAACAATTCACTTACTCGGGAATTTGCAACAACCGGCGCCAGGGACAAGAAGGAAAGATGGCTCAGCATGCGTAACACATGCCACAGTCATCTTAACGAATGTAAATCCACTACCTCACCGAATAATTCACCATATAACATCACTTAACACGGGAGACAAATAGACATTTGTAGTCAAGGATAACTAGTCTCCCTTCCGGTCTTCCCCTTTCAATGGCCACCTCTCACAGACATAAAGAAGGAGAGAAGAATGAACTGTTGTGCAATACACGCGTCCTTTGATTGATAGCCAACTGCATATCATAACTACGTTAGAGATAAGGAAGGCTGGCGAATTCCCCATGTGACTTTATATCTGCGCTGAGATTCTATCAGCAGTCATCAGCCCATTAGGGTTGGTACAACTTCCCAAATAAGCGAAGTAGACGACACTCCTTCTATAATTACACTAGGAATCAGTGTAGGCCAGTCCGGTAGCATTATCTTGCAACTAACGGAGACAGTTCTGCACAATGTGTGTGCAGTTAACAAGTCAATAACTTGGCTTTAATTGTTTTTAGTTATAAAAGGAAAGCTTTATTATTATAATTGTTTCCTTTAATTCCTAGAGGAACATAGGGCTTCAGCCATGCGTCTCCATTGCGTTCGGTTCTCCGCTAGAGTCTTCACCTGGCTCCAGGTCTGCTTACACGTTTTCATCTCCTCTTCACAATACCTCCTCCAAGTCACCCTTACACTGACGACCAACTCGCCGCTTCCAATACAGTCGGGTTCCACTCGAGCAATGGCTTGTCTAGTGATGTCACTTGAGGGTTTCCTCAGAGTATGGCCAATTCATCTCCATTTCTTTCTGCATATTTGTTTCACAATCGGTTCCTGGTTGGTTCGCTCCCAGAGATCCCTGTTGCTGATCTTTTCTGGCCGGCCATCTGATCTTGAGTGGCACTGAGCGAAGACAACTGTTAATGGAGGTCTGTAGTTTGTTTGAAATGCTCTTTATGACTCACTGGCCAAGTCTCTGATCCGTATAGTGAGTAGCACTGACTGACTTCAAATTGGAGTTGAAAATCCGAATCTTATTTTTCATGCTGAGTGCTGTTGACCTCCACACAGACTTGAGAGTAGTGAAAGCTTGTCTTGCTTTTCCGATTCTTGCTTTGATATTCTCGTCAGTTCCGTCAACGTGTAGTTGAAACGATGCTTCCCAAGTAGTTATAAAAGGAAGGCTGTGGGTAAGATGTTATCTTCAGATTGCTGCAAGTTCAGGTTAATACCAATCGAAAGATGGATAACAGAAGTTTATTTAGGCGTTTTATAGGGATTTCGATAAATTTCAATGCTGCTGGACAGACGTTTCGTCGTCATTTGTACATCTTCTATAGTCTCCACCCAAAACTCTCTCAAATGATCGAACCCATCGCCATCAAGTTCCAAGTGGAATCAAGAATTAAAAGAGATTAAAATTCGCCGGCCATTGAATTCCATCGCAGTGACTAAATAGTCAACTAACCAGCTGCTGTCGTAATCTGCAGCTCCTGGATTCGGATCCAAGTGAAGTCTTTCGTGCTCAATGTTGAAGTACTCCAAACTACATGTATCTCTTCACTAACCGATACCGGATGACGACGAAACCCACATCGAACCACTCAAAGTAAAAGATGGTGAATCACAATGCTGAAGTAAATGTTTGATTTTCCACATAAAATGTGCCGAATAACCACATTTGTCTCCTGTGTGTTCGTTCAGGTTCACCTTCAAGTCAATCGTGATTCGAACATGGAATCTATTAGCTAAAAGTCAGTTACTGAAGCTAATTAGACACACCTCTATGTGGCTTTCAGTAATAATAATAATAACAGTAACTGAAATAAGCTTACTCAATATATTGGGCGTATTCAAAATTCCCCAGCTTGGCTTTATCCACTGCATACAAGTGTACAGCATACGGAGTAATCCCACAATGAACAATACCAGAGGAATGTAGAAACACCAGAGCTTCAGATATTTGATAGGATATAATGAGTACTGATAGGGTAGAAAATTTATTGTGCTGAAAATAAACAACAAAAAAACAGTAAAAAAAAATGCACTAAACATAAATATCTTACAGGTTACTATGTGGCTAACAGTAAATTGAAAGATATGAGTTTCGTCCTATCTAGGACTCATCAACCGGATGTGCTTGGATGCCATTCCGCACCCGATAGTATCATATGCCTTCAAATAATAAGCACCAGAGTTGGCGCTTGTAAATTACACCATTCTAGGGAGAAATCGACTACAGCTTCCCTTGAAACGCCTGATGTATCCAGGTCCTAGTGTGAAATTTACTCGATATCAAGCTAGATAGTTTGGAGGGCTAACACTGATGCTTGACATGAATGATCTCAAACTTTCAAGTAAAACCAAAATATATCGGCTTCTAAAGGAAATTGATGAATTTTCACCTCGAACTGCGAAATTGTCAAATGGCGAATCAACCAAGTGACTAGCCAGAATACGAGTTGTTTAAACCAATATAAGTGACCAAGATAATTTTTGACTAGATATGAGGGAACAATGTCCTTCAGGGGGTTTAAATTCCTTTAGTTTGGCTAGTGAGTACTACAATTTCTTGTGAATGGTCTCGAACTACTGATAACAATAAGTAGTATGCATCAAAACAGTAAATATGCCATTCAGTCTCGTATTATTTTTATAATTCCCTTGGGTTTCGAGTGGAATATAGGGCTTCAACAAAACATCTGCATTCCACTATGTTGTCCGCGGTTATTTTTAACGAACTCCACGAATACCCATAAACTTTCGTTTCTTCCTCATACATTCTCCTCCACGTCACAGTCAGTTGCCAACCTCGTCGTTTCTCATTAGGCTTCTACTCGAGGGTGTGGCAAGTGATGTCACTCAACTATCTGTTCAATGTACAATCCAATCCATCTCCAGTCCAAAATTAACTTAACTTCAAGAATAATAATTACCAGGAATTGTGTTCTGATGAAAGAACGTGTTACTCCCCGGAAACTATTCAAACAAATTTCAGCGTATTTATCTGTAATGAGTGAGTTCAGCTGAGACACTATTTTTCAACTCAGTTACCCGGAACATGTCATTCATGTAACAACCAGTGAGTCACTGTTTGAAAGCTGATTATATCATACAGCTGGTTAGGCCAATGTAAATGGAGTGGGATTCGAACCTAGGACTCAATGGATGAAAGGCAGGACTCTACTCTGGATACTCTTAGGTGTAGTAAACGAACAGTATAAATCTTACGATAATTACAAAACAAGGAGACTTTACCTTCACGCGTCTTCACTGTTTATCAGTATCAACTAGTCAAATGTTATATACCAAACAAAAATATATAGTGTACCGTATGTCACAAGCACCTGTGAAGACCATCTTGAAGACCAAAGGGCTGAATGTTGTACTGCTTAGCTTAAACAATAGGTAACACATACGCATGTCTACGAAACAGTATAAGTTATCTACGGCTTATAGATATTGAAGAAAACAGTACCAGTGTGAAGAGAACCAAATCCGATGAAACCACCTGAATCTTAGTTGGCTAGCTACTTTTTGGAGAAATGGTAATACATTAAATCGTTAAATCCCATGTTAAGTGGTGTAATAGGATGAGCAATATTTAGGTGAGGCTTCAGTCAGGTGCTAGGTAAGAAGGGAAGTTAATCGACGAGGTTGTGAAGCAGGTGCATCGATTGAGATGGTTAGGACCTGTGTTGTGTTAGGCATGCCTAGCCATCAATCGCCTTCCTGGACGAGCAGTATTAGCCAACATAGGATCAGTGAGGTTGGAAAAGAGCCAGTGGTGGTCAAACTAAAACATGTCTTCATCAGTCGATGAAATTTATAACAGTTAATTTAAGCCAGCCATGTAGGGAGATGCAGACTGATGTCTGGTCAGGGTCCTCGGGATGGTAAGAACCAATGAAGGCTGGAGGCAGTCAGTGATATGGCTCAAAATCGTGACCATTGGCTGGCGTAGATGCATTCACTCTTTGTGAATTATAATACCCAGTAAAACTAAATTGTTCTTCCATATTACTATTCTTTTTGTCTCATATTTCTATTTATTATCTCCACTTTGAATCTTTCTCTACTCTTTTCTCTAGTTTGGTATGCTACAAGAAGGGAGTGTGGTAACTCGAAATGGTGCACATCTGTGCAAAGTTGTTCTATGTTGAAACCAGTCAGTCAGTCAGTCAAATCGAATACGAAATATACAAATTATTTCGCTGTTTGCAGATAAAACAGTTCGAGTTTCCTCTGGTAACGGAAATGATTCAGATCAAAGTATTTGATCCTCTTGATACCATGAACTGGAATCAGCAAAAGAAATATGAACACATGATACAATATACATACTACTGATTGATTGGCATGAGTAGTTGGAGATTACTTGCATAAATTATCACTGCTTTTCTAGAAACTTCTGATACTGAAGCGCATGATTTCACAGCCTAGTAATATAAGCTGAGTGTGACAACTGTCTGTGCAAAAATGAGCCATACTAAAATTATTTTCAGTCCATCCAAAAATCAGCTTTCGTATCTGTATCTAGGACTATTAACGAGTGAACATCAATCAAGTGTTTATCAGTGATCAGCCAGCAAGATTTTCATTCCTAGACATAATATAATGAGGTCAATAAAGTCAAATAATTAGGACTAATACTCACCGAGGATACCAGAATCGTAGGAGCGGTACTTTAGGAATTCGAAGATGTGAAAAACCCTTATCTAGTGAGTGGCTAAATGATTGTATGCTTCTTGTATTCGCTATGGCAAGTTTGACAGAAAACTTAAGAAATGTATCAAGTTCCTTCACTGTTACAGGTTTCATGCTCTGCTTTAAATCACCGGTGATTGTTTGCCTATATCGTTATCTGATTACATTCGGTGATGTTGCATTCTCTGAGCTGAGAATACCTCGGCCAAACTCTTCAACTTTTACTTACTGAAAGGTTATTTGAGCTCTGTAGATGTTTTCCGGAAAAACCAAACTGTCTACCTCAGAGAATGCAATACGACTTAAATCATTTAGTTCCAGCTACAAATTCTTTAAATGGTTTCAAAATCTGACTACTTCTTTCAAAATGCGAGGGATAACAGGACTGGACTGTTAAAAAGTTTTAAATGCCAGTCCTACCCTTCAATGGAAATTCATTAATGAAGTCACATTAGTTAAAAAGTTCTTAAAAACTAGGGAGAAACAAAACAGCCGTCTCATAGTGGTTCGCTACTCTTCAATAGTGTGCAGCCAGGATCCTCAGTCTGTGAGGAGTTGACCAATGAATGGCGTTACCACCAGCTAATGCCATAAAAAATGAACATCCTCTTCACCTTATTATGATGAACTTCACTGGCCACAAATTCTTTTCAGAACTTGAAGACATCCAGCCTGCAGTCAGCCTTTCATCGGCGCGAGATTTACATTCAGATTTTCGAGTTTATAGGTGGTTTGGTTAAATTAAGTGTGGATCTAGTCACAAACTGACACAGGTCAGTGAATCACTGAAAATTAAGCAGCACTAATCACCTTATTTGTCGCTTCTTGGAGAAATGTACATTGAAATTAAACAAAACTCCAAATTTCATACATTATTCCCCATTTAGGAATTTGAATAAAGCAAAAACAACAGTTTTTACAGAATAAAATGGTACCGTCACAGTGGAATAAAAGCCTGTCTTCATTCAACTTGATTTTAAAGGTAAAAATATTGCAGCAATGGTCAACAGAAGAATGAGTACATCAGAGCCTATCCTGCAGGTGAGTTGGTTTCCGTCTATAGAACAACATGCTCTTTAGTGCAGTCAAAAGTCGACAGAAACCATTCTCACGTTAACTCCATATGTGTATGCAAATTTACGTGTGTCTGCTAGAACAGTTACATTTGGAGAACGGAATAAAGGGCAAATCTCCGATTTTCTGAACATTTACAGGAAATTTTCATCATGAGCTGACATTAGTTAGAGAACCATATGGAAAACCTGGGAGTATTGGACAGATGTTTCGCCCTAGTTTGGGACTCTTCAGTAGTACGCACCCACCGGGTCAACTCATGATGAAAATCCTGTAGCCAATCAAATCCCTACAAACCAACACTTGAATTTACAGGAAAGCCTACGTTTCAAGGGAACAAATTCTTACAATAGTGTCTTCACCAGGCAACTCATTGATACGGGTCATGAGGTGGACATCGCAAAATCCTTTAGAATTATCAATAGACAAAAAAGGTCAATTCTCCTCAAGTTTGCCAAAGCAATCAATCTCTATCAAACGAGTGAAACTCAATTTATGTGTTCAGAAAGAAGCACTTATCAGTCAGTCTTTCCTTACCCATCCTGGTAACTGGATGTCTTTACCCTCTCTTCCATTTGATTACGCAATCCATAGGTTTAACCTCACTCCCTTTTGACATAGTGTAGTTTTGCTTGTCTCTTGTTTCTATGATTTGAGTTGAACTCAGCACATCGTTACCTAATTTATTAGTTACTCATCATCTTACGCATCTTTCGTTTTTATTACGTAACTCCTTTACTATTGTATGCATGCACACATTTACTTTGTTTAAAATTGAACTCCCTGTGTAAAAATTGTACAAGCGTATTTTTCTGAGCACTGTTCACTAAGTTTGAAACTTCTTGTCAGCTGACATCATGTGAAATTCGCAAGCATGTTGACACTTTCCTGTAGATGAACTTAATAACAATTTATTTAGACTGTAAACAGCTGATGAGAAGCCAATGAAATAAATAATGACGGTACCATATTATTCTGCGAAAACCTCAGTTGTTCTTGCTTTATTCAAAAACTCAAAATCTGAATTATTGTTTTGTTTGAACAAAGCATATCTTTTAATAGGCTAAAACAACACCAATGTTAAGTTGGTTCTTCTATATCAGTCATAAACTTGGCCATCGCGTCACAAGAAGCATTTCTAACAGCCAGCTGAAAAATTTTATCAACAGTTGCCCCCGCTGGCTTCATAACGAAGATCAGATGGCCAGCCAGAAAGAATTAGCAGTT